TTCCACGCAACATATTCCGGACGACTCTGTCCCTGCCCAGATAGGTAGCAGTCACCAGCTCGCCCTGGCGAGCCCAATCCCTCATGTTTCCAACGCTGAAGTTGAAGCCATCCAAGCTCGCTCACCGAAGCACAGAATCATCCTCGTTCGTTTCACAACACGCAAACCTAGCCTCGACAGCTTCATGTTCATCCAATTAAATGTAAAACCTGCTCCAGATCTTTTTTCTCTTGGATTCTGGTTTAGCTTTATGCATGGCCAGCAGCACATACTCTCGCAAGGTAAAATCATCCAAATAGTCTGGCAAACTAGCAGCCAAAATATCCCGTCGTCGGACAATAAACACCGAAGCATGATCATCATCCAACAACCCACGGACCCGAGCGAAATCCCCAGCCAGACAGGCAACTGCCAGTGATATGCTTCGCTTCACGTCCTCCAACGGAGCAGCATGCGGAAACCAAAACTGGTGAAATTTCTGAAAGTCATTCTCAGCCGAAGCTCAATCCAAATACAGCAGCTCAGCCTTCTCCTCGGCCTCAGACACGGACGACAACGGCAACGGCGGCGGAGGAGGCGGCACGCTTTCCCACCAGGTGCCCAACATCCAAGACGTTATGTTCAGCCCCAGCTTCAGACGCGCAGGCAGGCGTCACTAGGTTAGTGATATCAGAACCCGCCTTCGACGACTTAGCCCACGCCAACGGAGTCCAATCCGCATGATGCTCCGTACCTCGATTTAAATCGGCTCCACTGTGAAGCCAGAAATGCACACACTTCAAGCATTTTGATGAGACGGCATACAGGAACAAATAATGGTTGTGCTCGTCAAGAGAAACAGACTCCAAGCGCAACCGGGCAGGCTTTTCCCGCACGTGATGCATTGCATCACGTGCACAATCACCGCGCAATTCGTATGCCATCAGCAAAAGCTTTCCAGCACGGATCACCCACCTGAAATCTACAATGACTTTCCAGCACGGATGGCCAGGCTACCCGTCTGGGTTCGAGCACTGATGCTGGACCGGTAAGGAATACCACAATCAGCAAGTCAACCCTTTTCCGCACTGCCATCTCAGACAACTGAAGCCCCAACTCAGATTTTGTACAGCGCGGCCATGTAAGTGCAGCACATACCTGAAATACCAACTCGCCCAGCTACCAACCACACCGCTATCTCAGACAACTGAGCCTTCAACCCGGATGGTCTTCAGCGCGACGACGTAGAGGCAGCGTACATGAAAGCCAGAACCTCCAACATCGCCGTGTGCGTGTGTGCGTGCGCGTGTCTGCATGTATCTCTGTGCATGCGGGCATGTATGTGTAGGTGCAAATGGGTATGTGTGTATGCGCGTCTGTCTAAGTGTATGCGTGTATGTGTGTGTTTCTGCCTATCCGTGCATATGCGTGCGTCTGTGTGTCTGAATACATGTGTATGTGTGTGTGTGTGTGCGTGTACGTGTATGCGCGTCTGTGTGTGTGTGTCTGTGTGTGTGTGTGTGTATGTTCGTGCGTGTACGTGTATATGTGTATATATCTGTGTGTGAACTTGTATATGCATGCATGTGCGTATGCATACATGTATCCATCCATGCATGTATGCATGTATGCATGTATGCATGTATGCATGTATGCATGTATGCATGTATGCATGCACGCACGCACGCACGCACGCACGCACGCACGCACGCACGCATGCATGCATGCATGCATGCATATGTGTATGTATGTATGTGTGTCTATGCACGTGTGTATGAACATGCATGCATGCATGCATGCATGCATGCATGCATGTATGTATGTATGTATGTATCCATGTGTGTCTATGCACGTGTGTATGAATGCATGTATGCATCATCAAAATTTTCAAGACGCTCCGCACGGGAGCGCGATTTTCATTAAAAATTCAAGACGCTCCGCACAGGTTCGCGATCGTATTCAAAATTTTCAGGACGCTCCGCATGGGAGGCGATTTTCGTGGAAATTTTCAAGACGCTCCGCACGGGAGCGCGATGTTATTCAAAATACTTCAAAATTCTCAGGACGCTCCGCACGGGAGCGCGATTTTTGTGGAAATTTTCAAGGCGCTCCGCACCGGAGCGCGATTTTGATCAAAAGAGAACGATATGGAGCCGATCAGTTTGGTATAGAATTGGTATAGAAACTGTTCCTTAAACGATCTAAATTCGAACGACGAATCCGGCGACTCCTATATCAATCCTATACCAAAACATACACCCCCCAAAAATAACCCTTGATAAGATGAATCGACAAAATTTCGAGGACGTCTCGAGCGGGAGCGCGATTTCTGAAAGTCAGATTATCAAAATTCTCAGGACGCTCCGCACGGGAGCGCGATTTTGATCAAAAGAGAACGATCAATTTCGAGGACGTCTCGAGCGAGAGCGCGATTCTTGAAGATCGATTCATCAAAATTTTCAGGACGCTCTGCACGGGGGGGGCGATTTTGGTTGAAAGAAAACATTCTTGAGCGAATCAGTTCAGTATAGAATTGGTATAGAAATCCTTCCTCAAACGATCAAACACTCGAACAACGAAGCCAAGGAATCCTATACCGACCCCGAAGAACCTCACTCTTGAGAACGACAAAATTTCGAGGACGTCTCGAGCGGGAGCGCGATTTTTAAGATATCATCAAAATTTTGAGGACGCTCCGAGCGGGAGCGCAATTTTGATCGATTTGAAAACATAAAATCGATAAACAATCGACAAAATTTTGAGGACGTCTCGACCGAGAGCGCGATCTTTGAAAATAGCTTCAAGATAAGAGAAGATGATCAGAGAGGCCACCGGAGCCAATTGTCTCACGAAAATGCGCAATTTTGAAGATTTTATAACGTCCAAAAAAGTCTATAAAAAAAAGAAGAAAAAGACTCGATGTTTTGAGGATGTCTCGAGCGAGAGCGCGATTTTTGATGATTTAAGTCAAAGCCGGGGGGTCGTCCAGAACGTTTCGACCCCCCCCCCCCCTCGCAAGACTACTTCAAAAGCAATCTGGCCTCCCAGACCCCACTCAGACGCAACATCATAACATTCGCCGAAATGAAGACGTCTCGAGCGAGAGCGCAATTTTGTGCCTTCACATCAGCGAGTCCAAAATGTTTGCGCGACGGAAGAGCACGCTGCGGGTGCCGGGCGACGCACATCGAAACAATTAGAACCCCACACTAGATGTGGGGAATTAGAAGGCGTTAGTGAGCGGTGTAGGTATAGACTGTGGCGTGGTGTATGTCAGCGGTGTAGATGTTGTGGTGTCTGCGAGCGCTGTAAGTGCTGTGTAGACTGTGGCGTGATGCATGTGCGCGGTGTAGGTTTTGTGGCGTGTGCAAGGCAACCATTTTTTGACGAGAAACCCTTCGCGGTGCTGTTGGGAAAAACAAAACCCTTTTTTTTGTAAGACCTGGGATGCCCTCGACCTGAAAGAAGAAGGTTCTTTTTGCAAACCGTGCTGGCCTGAACCTCATAATTGAAACCATTTTTTGTAAACCCTGGGGTGCCCTCAACCTCAACAACCAAGGTTTTTTCGTCAATTTTGGGATGCCCTCAACGACAAAACCGTTTTTTGGGTAAACCCTGCTGCGCACTCAACCTCACAAACGGAACCCTTTTTGTCAATCCTGGGATGCACACAACCTGTAAAAAGAAGGGCCTGTACCTCAAAATCGAAACAATTTTTTGTAAGCCCTGGGGTGCCCTCAACCTCCTTTTTCAGTTCCGCATTGCTACGGCTGCTACGGGGGCGGACAGAGTTTGGAGAGGGAATCTGTCAAAGAAGGGAAAAGCAAGAAAGTGGAGAGGAGAAGTATGAGCTGTGGGGCTCTGGGGCTCTGGCACATCCCGGAAGAGGCCCACCACTCCAGCAGTGACCTTAGCAAAAGGAGAGGAAAGAACATCAAATGAAATATTCATCTTTCTCTCCTTTGCTCTGAGAGGTCAGGTGGCCGTTGCGGAGAGAAGGAGCCGGCCGAGGAAGGCGAGTGCGCCTGAGGCCAAAAACTCCCCGTATACACCATTTCTTCGTGTGCTTCTTCGGGTGCCCCGTACACCGATTGCGATTTAAAGGGGGCCTTAAGGGCCTTCGCGTCTTCAATTGGGCGTTGCATTTCTGAAGGACGAGTTAGACGCTTCACGGTTAGGACCTTAGGACCATTTAGGACCTGAATTCAGGATTGCGATTCGGGTCTTAGCTTCAGGCGAGCTTTCAAATTCAGGTTTTCAGGTTCAGGCATCTGATGTAAAGTTTGGGGCTAGCGCTTCAGTTGCTGTATGGACTCTTCACAGAGTAGTTTTGAGGAAGCACTTAGATTGATTCAGTGCTGAGGTTCACGGCTTGGGTTTGTAGTTCTTAAGGTGGCTCTAAGGCTTCGAATTTTGCTCTTCCTTCCTCCCACCTATCGTTCAGGCGCATGTTTAGCTTTCTGGTTGCTTCTGTTCATCATCCTTTGCCTCCTTTTTTCCGTTACCGTCTCCCCTGTCTGTGCTGACCGATGATTGTTCCTGACAATTCTCCTGCTCTTCCACGATTTCCTTGATTTCTTTGTCTGTGTTGTGTGCTGTCAAAAACACGTATGAATCAAATGCTCAGTGCCTGGATCGTTCCCAGCCAGCCGCTTCTTGCCCATCTGCAAATGCTTTCAGGAGACGTCTGCTTTGAAATGGTAACTAATCACTAGCCAGGTTGAACCCAGTCAAACCCTGCAGGCTGTGTTGCTGACATGCTGTGGCACTGTGGGCTGTCTGTGGCGTCTTTTCTAGGCTTTTTGCTTCGGGGGTGGCTGAGGGGGGGGGGGGGGGGGGGCTGGGATTTCACTGTCAAGCACTGAGCCGCTGCGGTCGCTCACATGGCGTGCAGCTTGCCGCACAGCAAGCACTGCAAGCATCTGCAAACATCGGCAAAGGGTGCCCCGCATTCCCTTGCCACGTTCCCAGACAAGAAGACGAAGGCGCAGATCTATAGAGATCGCTTTTCGTGTCTCGACTTAGACTCCAAAGATGATGGCGAGTACTCCCGCGCCGTAGGCTGCAGCCAGGGACCACCGCTTGTCTCGGAGCCAGGCGGGGATGTCTTGCCAAAACCTGAGCTCGGCTCCGTGGCTCAGCCATCAGCGATCTAGAGACTTAGAAGAGCTGTGGCAGAGGCTTCGAGAAGATGGCGGTTAGCCCACCAAAGGCGATCTGAAGTTCAAAGAAACACAAAGCGGAGCCCTTAAACTATTGGGAGGCGGAGCTTCTTCTTTCTCTGAGGTTTGGACGAGGCGGCTCACTTGCCGGCCTTGGGTCTCGATGGTGTACTGCATGGCCTCAGACTGCACCTCCAAAGTTTGCCTCATGGCCTTGGCAAATTCTTCGAAAGGGCTCTGTTTCTTTCTGTTTCTGCAAGTTTCTGCCCTTTGAGCTTTTAGGCCCAGACTCGAGTCTGCTCTTCCAAGATACGCCTCAAGGCCGTTGATCACATGACGACCCCAAAAGACCTCAATTCTCCGCCGGAGAAGCTGCTCCTAACTCCCTAGCTCGCCGGTCCTCTCCCTTCTTCTTGCCAGTGATACATGTGCAGGGCGGCGGGCGGCGGTGGGCAGCGGAGTCTAACACGTGAAAATGCAACGCACAAGCATCCGTTCAAGGTCAAAATGATGATGCGTGCCTGTGCCATTCATGATCACAAGTATCAGGCATCATGCATGCCATGGTCCACAGCTATGGTATGCCTAGCTAGGGTTCCTCGTGCAGTGCGGTCTGAAGCGATCCGAAGCGTTACCCTCCTACGGTTCTTGCAGGTCGCACCTCTGCACCTTCCTGTCTAAGGTCCAGGCTGGTGCTCATGCATTGCGAACAGCAGGAGCTGCACAGTTGCAGACATTGACAGTCCCCCGACAGTCCCACGGTCCGACCGCAGGCAAACACAGAAACTGCCTCACGTGTCTCAGTGAACATCAAAGGCATTGCTGCTCCTGAGATCGCAAAGTTTTTAAGCTTCAAAAGTGCGGAAGCTGTGCGGAGCTGCGCCCTCTTTGTTGCTGCGCCGCTGAGCTCAGGAGCCTGCTAACGCCTGCAGAGACCCAGGTTTGGATGTCCTCCTCCGTGATCAAGTCCTCGCGTTCAACAATTTGCACTTCGAGCTTTAAGGCCTTAGGAGTCCGGACCTTTGCTCTCGGGATGAAAGATGCCATGACACGGACACATGTAGAGAGCAGCACACCAATACTGCGATTTCAAACATCAAGGAAGCGTTGCAGAAAGTAGTGCGCTGTGAGGGCTGTGAGGCCTAACCTGTTGCCCTGAGAGTCGTGGCCTGGTCCCACAAGAGCCATGCTGGGAAAACCGTGTCTTCTTCACGCGCACAGATTTCCTCTCTGATCCTCTGATCGTATTCATTGCCTGCTCCATGTCCAGGGCTTGAGCCTGCAAAAGTGCGATCCGTGCGATTTGGAATTTCTCGGAAAGGTTTTGTGCTCAGAGGAGAACGAAGGGTCCCCGTGCAGATATATGGGCACCACAGCACAAGATGTGCTACGACTGCTACAGAACTGAAGCATTTTGCAACTCAAGCGGCCAGTCACCAGCAAGGAACTGCTTTACAGAACCCTGCCCAGGTGAAACAAGCATGAAATGCGCAGGCAGCGCAGAAATCGTTCAAATCCTTTACAAATTCGTGATTCAGTTGGACAATGAGCCTGGCACAGCAATGGCCAGCTCGTCTCGACGATCTTCCAAAGCCTTTGATCCTGGTCGGGGCTGAAGATTGCTGCAAGGTGGCTGCAAGTTGCGAGCAGCCGTCCTGAAGCATCGGCCACCGGAACAGTCGGGGGGCTGGGCAAGGCAAGGTCCAGACCGTTGGCGTTGCTGCGCAGGGCGCCATCCATGAGAGCCTGGCGGTCGCTAGAGCAGATCCACAGCCTACGGCCCTACTCCGTGCCTACACAGTGCCTATACACGTACGTTCACTTGAAACCTCACAACCTGACGAATTGAGCCTGCGTGGGCGAGGCCCCGGTGCGGCCTTCGGTGAGCGCCAGCAGCGACTGCTGAGCCTCGCCCACCGGAAAAGAAAAAAAGTCTAAACCATATCTGCAGCTTTCCTCAAAGCTTGAATCTCCTCATTACCTTTTTCTCCTTGTCCCTCATCCCGGCCTCGGCCCCGAAGCCAGGTTCTCCTTCCTTGTTCCATGGCATGTTCTCCAGCTCGCTCGTGGCCAAGCGTTTCATGGTCTGCGCTTTGAAATCCGGGTGCCGCATCCTGTATTGCCTCGTGTCTAGGAAGACGTGCTCCCCGTGAGACATCACGGCGCGAATGGTGGCATCCAACATGGCAACCTTGGCTTGGAACTTCTCCATCTCCTGTTCGAAAAGCGCATATTGCTTCCTCATTGAGTCCACGCCAACCTGGGCGACCAAGAGATCCTTCGATTTAGCTGGGCCTTTCATGCGGATGCAGCCGGTGATGAATTCCTCCGTGGTGAGCTCTCCAGACTCATCATAGTCCAACAAGGCAAAGATCTGTCCTGGATCATCCACAGGGAAGTCGATCATTTTGAGCTTGTTGTAGATTTCGGGCTTTTGAATGGCAGCCTCCACCTCATCAATGGTCAAAGTGCCGCTTCCGTCCACATCAGCCATCTCGAAAATCTCTTGGAGCTGTGAAAAGACCTGCTTTCTGTCTCGTTCTCGTTTCGCTTTCAGTTTGTTTTGGTCCTTGTTGGCCGTGGCCAAGGTGTTCTCCACCACCACCCCGATCATGATGCTCATGAGCCCCAAACTCGAAATGCACACGAAGATCAAAAAGAAAATCAACATTGCGGGCTGGTTGGCCACCACATGGCGTACCACACTCTCGTTCCACTGGTCCAGAGTCATGATCTGGAAGAGTGTGAAGGTAGACCGCCAAACGGTTGCAAAGTAGACCTCATGATCCCAGCCCCCGGAGGTTGCAAAGTAGGGGTCATAGAGATCGTCGTTGTGCCCAATCACTGTCGTAGTGATGATGGCCTGCACTGCAAACTGTACGTTCACTGATTCGCTCACGCTCCCTTGGCTTTACCTGTACGCATTTCACGTGGTATCTCCCGCTTGGATGCATCCAGAGGCATTCTGCCGTGTGGCTTGAATGGTGCGCATGATGCCTTGTTTAGGTTGTGAAGGTGTGTGACCGGAACACTTCTTTTTTTCTTTGATCCTACAAATCCAATGTACACTGGCAGTGGGTCTGTTGGACTTGGACAAAACATGCCTAGCTATGCTTTCCGTTGTGCTTTGCTGGGCCCCGGGCGCATGCATAGCAGAAGAGAAGGGCCACAAGACAGATCCATCCCAAGGTCTTCAAGGACTGTAGAAGGCCCGAGACCATGAGCCAAAGCTCCTTGAAAAGCTTCAAGAGTCGCAGCAACCGCGCAAGCCGCATCATGCGGACGAATCGCAGCATTGCAACCACCTTGGAACCAATCAGCTACCACAAAACTACCGCAATTGTTTTGTTGTTGCTTAGCGCTCCCCCAATCAATCCCAATGCTCGATGCGGTTCAACTAAGGATTCAGCACGTGCCGTGCCACCCACTCCAAAGGGGATGAGGATCAGCGTGTCGACAACGGAGACAGACACAATAATGAAGTCAGCGACATTCCAAGCTCGTGTCACTGGGTTGGTGAAGTAGCGCAGGCGATGGAAGTAGAGGCGCAGTAGTAGCTCAAACAAGAAGATAATGCAGAAAATCAATTCAACGATGTACCACAGCCGGTCGTCATGCTCTTCTTGGGTGGCCACGGCGTGGGCTACAGAGTCCGTCTCCAAACCGATCGTAACGGAGTTTAATGCGATCACCACGCCCAAACCTTCAGATGCCGTGTGTTGCAGAATGCTTGTTCTGCAAGTTTTCTTAGTTGCTCTCAGTGCCCGGCACATATTGAAGGTCGGCGTGTCAACGAATGGCTTAGGCGGTCGAACTTCTGCGCCATAGTCATCATTGTCCTCTTCATCTGAATCCTGGCCCTGCAAACTAGGCAAACTAAGCTGTCGCCTCAAACGTGCAATTTGTTGTTGAACTACAACCGGCCTGATTGTATTTGGCGACCAATGCGTCAATTGGATCCCGGTCTCCCTGAACAGCTCCCTTCAAAAACTCGGTTGACAGGCAAGGGCCAGGTCTGGACCGACATAGGCACATGCTGCATGCTTACAAACACCTTCAATGATTCTCAGCGCCACGCCCCCACCCAGGACTTTGTTTTCGGTTCGGGCGCTGCCCTCGCAAGCTCCTCATCGTCCACGTCTTCCTCTACTTGTTCCGCCGTGTCTTTGGACCCAAATTTTTCCGCCATGGCCAATCGGCGCCAATCGGCGCCAATCTTCCCTCTGAGCCAACACAGTCACGAAAAACAATTGACGCAGCAATCACCCTTGGTTGTCTGTTGCATTCCGTGCACGTCACTGGTGCCTGCACAGACATTCCATGTGAACAATGAACTACCAGAAATCTTCCGGGCTAATTACGAGTTGACGGCCCATCTGCATGGCAAGAGATGCAAGTATTTTCCGGGCGCGCCAGGGAGCAAACAAAGGATCGAGGCCGATCTCAACAAGCGCGCGCCTGCGGCGCTTGCGGCGCCTGTGGCACATGCCGCAACGACGAAAAAAACAAGAAACGTGATAATTTCGAGTGGCTTCTGGATTTTCTTCGGCAAACAAACGAAGGCTTTGAAGCTGGGGTGTCGCCCGCAGCCACGCGAATCGGAGCTTCGCACGAAACTTGGTAAGGCTGCGAATCTAGTTGCTTCGGAACTTCCCCTGGAAGCTGGAAGCTATAGTGGCTTTGCCCGAAGCTTGAAAGCTAGTGAAACTAGTGGTTTCGGAGTTTCTGTGTATTCGTACGGATTCTGCCCTACCCATTGTTGTGTAGGTAGCTAATAGGTAGTCACAAGCGGAATGTACCATGTAATTTGGCTCAAGGCTCCCCTAGAGGCTGAATTGATGTAGGGAGGTATTCCACCGTGCCATTTACATTTGGTCATTCCGCAAGCGCTGAGCTGAGCTTTGAGTACAACATTCGACGACAAAAGGAGTGCGGGAGCACGGGTTTACTGGTGAGTGTAATTGTCAACCCAGTCAACCTTTTACAGGTTAGCAGCCGTAACAGCTGTTGACTCAGCAGGAATGTTATNNGATGGCAGTACAGGATCCGCGAGTATTGGTTGTTAGATATAACGTAGAGTTCTGCCAACGACGTTCCTGTTTGGCACAAGATTTTTGTGCTCAAGCATTTTCGTAGTGAACAGGACAGTGTCAAAAGCTATGGTGGTTGGTCTGCGCCTTGGACTACTAGTTTTCCCCGTTGTGTCAGGATGGTTTGGTTGGGGCAATGGTCGTGCCGCGCTTCTCGGGTGGAACGCCTACAACAGCTCCAACCTCAGTAACCTCCAGATGTCCGGGACGTTCCGTCCAAGGCTTACCCCCCGGGAAGTGCCCCAAATACTGGGGAGTACCAGGAGGCTGGACCAGCCCACCAAAAGTCGACCACCTTGGAGTTCTCCCTCAGGTGGGGGGGGTCGACGGGGAGCTCGATTGGGGCTGGTCGTTGAGTGGGCTACAGGCCGGGTTTTCTCCACCCGCCTTCAGGATGGCAAGGCCAGCACCGGAGGCGGATGGGCTACGTACTTAGTCGACCGAACTGGATTATGGTGTTTTGGAAATTACTGGCCCACGGTGGCCTGGTCATTTCTTACGCTGGATCGGCTTGGTTTGGGCCGTTAGGGTTTTCAGGCAGTATCTTTGTTGCTGCTGTGGCCGTCGGGCTGGAGCTGCAAGCAGGCCCACCCCTCCCTCTTCCTGCCGCTGCAGCCACGCTGCCATCTGTGAAGGTACATAGGGGTTATATTGACCCGGAGTTTGCCGGGCCTGGCAGCGGACACCGAATTCTACCAAAGGAAAATACGAGGACGAGGCTCCATCTGGAGCCCGCAGGCGGTGACCTCTCGGGGGGTTTCGGTGTTTGCTAGCCAGATGCCCAACCACCTTGCGGATTGGATCGGTTCTTGGGACGGGTTATCCATCTGTCACAAGACCAGCCAGCCCCTCTTCCTGTCGGACCCCAAAGGTTGGAGATTTCGGCCGACCCCGAGAAGGCCTTCCTACCTCACGAGGAGGGGCGCATTTTCCGCCTCACCCCTCGCAATGCCGAGCAAGAGGAGTTCGCTACACCCCCTCGGTCGACAACCGAAATTCACGACGTGTTCCAGGCCTGGAATTCGCGAGGACAGAGCTTCAAGGAGGGAGTTACTCTGACGGCGCAAGCCCCGGACGTCGCTGAGGAAGAGGAAGCAGTTCAGTGGCATTCCCCCCCGCTTCCAGCACCATACCCCCCTCCAGCGGCAGGTCAATCCTTTCGAGACCCTTGTCAGGAGTAAAGCCCCTACACTTGTCGCCAGCCATGGCCGAGTAGCTCCAATCCCTTGCTCGGAGGGGTCGTACCGACCTTCCCCCAATCCAAGACTGGGGCGTCCTTCGGCGAGTCGTTGGGCAGTTCGGGGAGTACCTCCTTGCCACGGATCGAATTATCCACGCAATCGACGGGCTTCGAAAAGCTCAAGACAAGGATAAGACAGGATCTAAAGGGACTCTCACCTCCATCAAGGATCCCGAAAAGCTCGACGTGCTCGCCCGCGGGTGTGGGGAGACCCAGGTCGAACTCTGCCCAGGAGTCTACGGGAAGGAGCTCTTTCACGGTATCAAGCGGGCAGGCCACCACGCCAAGCATATGCTCCAGCTCATCAGATGGCCGGTTCTTATAACTAATCGCCTCGCTCTCTCGATTTCGGGCCTGTGGTGGGGAGGAGAGGAGAGTTACACTCTCTTGGCCGCAGACTGTGCCACGGCCAAAGCTGAACGGAGCAGCGCAGTAAAGCCCCCGCCGCCTTCCTTACCTGGCTCCGCTATGCGGAAAACGCGGTTAAAGTGTTTGGCGCCGCGTATGGATTGGAACATAGTCCCAGGGAGGTTAGCGTTCCTGTCCTTTCTGCGGGAGGCCAACGAGGAGGACGAGAATGCCTATCCCGTGAACTACTGCATAAATGCCGCCGCCAGCCTCGGCACGGAAAATCCACGCCTTGAGGATCTGAAGCTAATAGCCCTAGCAGCCAGCAACGATGGCACCCCGAATTTCCAGTTCGCAAGGGTGTGGGACCTTGAGGACCCGCAGGGCTATTTCCAGACCGTTGTCCTCCCTCGCCAGCAGCGTGCCATGATGCGGCTCCTCAACAAGCAGCTTCACGAGCAAGCCCTGGGCAACAGCCGACGGCCGAATAAAGCGGCAGGCACTGATACCGGTAACTGACTACGGCCGGCAAAGGACCAACTCTACGCTTGAGACGCAACGATCGTGAGGAGGCCGCCCCTTCCCAGAGCCCCGCAAGGCCTACCCTGCGGGCCGGCGGCTAACCCCACAGGAGGTGACCCGATCAGTCACTCACGCACTGGTAGACCCTAAGACCAAGAAGCCCATCTGTTGCGATGCGGCCTGTCATACCGAATGCACATTGAGCCCTTGCCCGCTATGGGCAAACTCGACCCCGCAGTACCGTTAGGCTCCAAAGTTGTCCAAAGGACAACCTTTGTACAGAAGACACATCATGTGTACTTTGTATACAAAGGTCTCGTTTGTTGAACATAGTTCGTCAAAAAATAGCAAAGGGTGCATGTAAACAGGCAGATCCATGACAATGCAAGAAAGAAGCCATCAACCTGTTTGTGCCAGCTGGAAAAAAACCCTAAAAGCCCTAAACCCTAATTTCCTCCACCCTAATGAATTTCATCAACCTTAAAATTTTTGTAGCCCTATAAACCTAAAAAAACATACCCTCCACCCCTTCCACGAAGGTGAAGCCTGTGGCCAAGGAGGTCTGATTGTCTGTGGCACATGCGTGGACCTCAACTTGAAATCTATAACACTGCAAGAAGCCATCTATTGGTGTATCCTTTGTAGCTCGCCAAACCTGCGCCATACGGCAGAGGGTGTGCGTAAACTTCAAGATCCATGACAATGCCAGAAGCCATCAATGTGCGCTTGAGATTCTTTGGCGTGAGAAAAAAACCCGAGAGAAAAAAAATGGGCTTGAGATTCACGAGAATACTTGTGAATCTCGAGCCCAAAACCCCATGCCCTTCACCCTCTACCCTAAAGCCCTAATCCCCATATACATATATATATATAACATTTAGTCGGCTTCAGACGCAAGGCTGCAAACCCGACGGCTTGCTACAGACATTTAAATTTACTAGGGATTATAGCGATAAGATTTGGGGTGGGAGATTATATATTTATCATTGCAAGGGACAGCTTTCCGAATCCCTAAGGGCTACTGGTGAAGTACTGTGTTAGAAGTGTCTCTTTTCCTAAAAAGAGAACATGGGGCTTTGGGAATGCTGAATTTAGGGCTTATCCAATCCTCGTGAGTACTTCTTTTACCATGTGCCTTACCGTTCCTAGCACGATGCAATTTGAGCCTCACTTACAAGGTTCTGGGGGCCCATGTACGTTCTTATAAACAATTAAGGAGTAGTGCTTTGGGTCAGGGTCTTCTCAGGCGCATATACAGAGGGGTTGGCCGTAAATCAGTTTTTCAAATGAGGCAATTGCCATATGGGGCCCGCTATAACTGGAACCCTCATACAAGGACCCGTATTACAAGGATGATAAGTTATAAGCCAATCTTTCTATCATAATAGGCCATACCCTGGAGACAGCCGCAACAGCGTGGCCGCGTAGACAGCCGGCGTTTAGCCTCCGCCGCTTTGAATGGGGTCACAAGGGCTGCAGTCTAAACTCCTAGTGCAATATATCCTTGAACAACCGCTATAGTACTCCCCTGTATAATCCCCTATATGACCTCCCTTAAAGAGTTTAGACTGCAGCTCATATAGTTCTATGTCGGGGTTGTAAGGTTTAGGGAGCTTTCCTCCAAAAGTAGGGGGCCCCTTTTTTTGGTGTGTCTTTCTTCAGAAGGGTTATGGTAGCCTAGCCCTGCGCTATCAGCAGCATGTGCTGATTATCCATACCCCAAAGTTGCTGATACATTTGTAGCCTGTTGGGATTCCCTCGCTATCATGCTGGGTTTACTCTATAGGGGCTTATTATAGGGGTTAGGGTTTAGCGGTGTAATGCTTAAGCTTTATGGGCCCCCCAAACCAAGTATTTGCTGGACCGCGAAAAGGCAGTCATGACCTCTCCTGCGTATGCCCACAAAGAATTCTCCTTTATAAGTCCCAAAATAGGACCCACCCCGTCTCACAAGTGGTCTCCATTCCACATCTCAAAAGGCGATTTGCAAGCGCGGATTCACACACATCATGTAGTTACAGCACGGTCAGTGGCAGGCAGTGCATACATCTCATTCACATGTTCTACACGAAAAGCTTACTCACATGTTTCCGTTTGCCGCGCTGAACGGACAGTGCTGAAGGCACGGCTTGCACGAGCATGCAGCTGCTGTTGTTGAAACGTACTTGCAGTGTCTGACTGCGTTGCTTTGTCTGTGTGCAGCGCTTTCACGGCCAAGCTCTGCACAGCCTGCTGGCGTCGCTTTTGTGTGTGAAGCTCGATCATGGATCGGCAAG